ACTGTTTATTTCGTAGTGTAAGCCATCAAGCTTTTCTAGGTTGTCGGCGACCCTATATAGTTCTTGCAGTGCCTTTTTAAATTTGAAACTTCACACTATCCTTGGATCCCTAGTTATATTTCTATTTTAATTTTTATATAAAAATCATCTCACCTTAAAAACACAACTAGAGTGAATTTGTACCAGTGCAGGACTACCGCAATCAGCGAACAATTTCTTCAAGTTTTATCCCGTTTTTAACCACAGCTGGACGAAGGACTATTCTTCGAACTATCCGTAAAACTATAAACATCAACCTCACGACATTCAAGTTCATCACACGGTAATTCTTCCGGAATCAAGATTAAAGGCTGTTTTGACACACAGTGAACACACAGAAGCTCGTGTCCACCCAACAACGAAGCTTTCTTTCCATGCATAGTGCAAAAATCCACCATTTTAAAAATTTTTTTCGATAAATCTTTTCCGAATCTCTTGAAACCTGGAGGTGTAAACACAGCGAAGGCCGACCGAACAATGACGGCGCAGAGCGAGAAATCGATAATATGTAAAAAACCTAGCCTGACCGCGTTGCATGCCGGTATAGTCCTCACTCCTCCTCTGGCAGTCTATTATATAAGCTAAACTAACATATTACTTTTTAACATTCTTAAAGAAACTACGGCATACGAGTTTTACAACATTTGTAAATAATGTTCATTTTATGTTTCTGCCGCAGGTTGGATCACCATTAAAATATTTTTCCGCAAAGAAATATTTTCTACTCGGAAGAGGTTCTATGGGCACATCCGTTTTTGTTGGTATCATGGAAGATGGCAGTGAAGTAGCTGTAAAAAGGATGTTGGTACCAGCATGTGGAGATTTAGCTGAAAATGAGAAAAGTATCCTGAGTCGCGTCGTATCACCATTTATAGTGCACTATCGAAGTTTTCTCGACCAACACGACGCAACCTTCGTTTATCTAATTGTTGATCTGTGCGAAGAAACATTGGAGGAACATGTTGAATCCCAAACTATTGAACACTTGAGAGAGTATGGTCCAAGAATGATCAAACAAATCCTAAGTGGGCTTAAATCTCTCTATGATCATAGAATTTTGCACCGAGATCTCAAACCATTAAATGTCCTGGTGGATATTGAAGGTCGCATGAGATTAGCAGACTTTGGACTAAGTCGTGTCCTAAATGAAAACGAAAGCACAGTTCATACAGATCCCAAAGGAACTTTAGGCTGGATGCCCTCTGAAGTAATCGAAGCAATGAATACGAAAGAAATAGGACGTTATAAAAAGAAATCTGATATCCATGTTGCAGGAATGATTGCTTTCTTCATTTTAACCAAAGGTGAACATCCCTTTGGTGATTGTTTGCATGATCGTATGGCAAATATTTTGAATGGAAATCCAGTCAACTTGGCCAATCTTGAAGATCTTGAGGCTAGACAGTTTATTTCATGGTTGATCTCTCATAAGATTGATGATAGACCTTATGCCGATGAAGCATCGATTCATCCCTTTTTGGATCAAGTAGAAATTTATGAAGAGTTTCATAAGCCAATAATCTCTTGCACTGGTCGATGACATTCCAATGTAAAAACGTTCAACGTTTTGCGATTTCAATATTAAAGACACAGCATATATATATATCATCCCCTTGGTGCAGAGGAATAATAAAATAGAAAAGTCCAACAACTGATGGCACTTGCCTTAACTAACCGCGATATAAAATGTTAGCAAATGGTTTAATCTTTAATATATTAATGAATTTAATATAAGTTAATGAGCGCGAAAAGCACAATGAACATGCATGATAAACTTCGCGCATGCGAAAATATTGATCAGCTCGAATAAATCTTTTGTGACGTCGGCAGCGACCGCGTGAGAAGAAAAGTAAAAGTTTAAGACTTTGCTTTTGGTAGTATAACAAGTTAATTAACATACTGAAATTTCAAAAATTTTAAAGATTTTCATAAGTTTTTAAAACAATGAATATTGTAACGAAAGAATTTACCTCTATAAACCGGGAAAAAATTAATATCAAACCTCAGGGACGCCAGAACCACGGGTGCAAGGGCACTACTTGCCTTTTGTATCATAATATTGACTGTAATATTGTTCCATTTGTTAGACCATGTGGGGGGAGAATTAAGTTTTTCTTGACAAACTGAAAAATAATCACTTCTGACAAGTTCATTTTATCATTAGTGATGGGATGCAAAATTGAATTATTCAAGTTGTGCCTTTCCAATTAAGACAGCCTAGGCCTACCATTAGGTCTACTCATAGTGTCACTATGGAGTATCATATTGCTGACTTTGCGGAAAGAGGTATAATCGTGATCAGTGATCATGAAGAAGGGGAATTTATCTCCAATGTTTTCTTCGTGAGAAGAAAAATGGATCATTTCGAATGATCCTCAATCTCAAAGATTTAAGGGCTGTCTCTCTAAAACCGCACGCTGATATCCAGATTGAAAGATAGTTTTCCTTAATATTTTTACCATGAAAAACACTTTAGTTAGTAACTACAAAAACATTCTTAGAATTTTCGACCTTCTTATTTTTACCGAGTTTTGATACATTTTTGGATTCCTGCTTGAGCCCGTCGTCTTGCAAGGGAAAAGGAAGCAATATTTGCCCAAAATACAGTCGAATTTTCTTCCAGAAAATCGTAACCAGAAAACGTTAGTTTTCAATCGCGGGTTGAACTAATATTCTTTCTTTCAATTTCTGAACCACCATATACTCTTGCCACGTTTAACTCCCATGCGATTCTACGAATTTGATATAGAAAAACAGCTGAGGCGATATTACCACAAGGCACAAGGGAAACTGATTTCTTTCCATAGTTCTAGTGCCAGCGAGCCTATAATTATAAAGTGGGGTTACATTATTTAATTAAACTAGAAAATACATGCATGCAGAAACCCTCGCCTTGCTGACAAAACCATTGTATTTTCCGAACATGAAGTATCTAAAGTAGATGTCATGGTAACACGATAATTTTTTAAGAATATTCTTACAAATGAAAAATCGCCTAAAAATATCACTTTTAATTACAAAATTATTAATTTCCCAACATATATATGTTAGGTATGTTATTATACGTAATATAAGCCTCAAAACAATACACACTCCGAAAATTGTAAACATTTTAATTCTTTACGTTTCGACTATAATTTAAGTCATCTTCAGAAGAATGCCACGTATTTCGAAAAGCCAACTATTTATAAGCTAGATGCTTGCGTGTTCAAAGTTTGATAACGTCATTAAACTAAC